CCATCCTCCACAGCTAGGCAGACCTGCAAATAAAAAAAATGCTCAACTTTTCTTCACATCCGAGAGGGCACTCTCAGCAGAGTCTCTCGAAATACTCAGCGTCTTTTCCTCCCGATAATACCTCTGCAAACAAGCCACACCAGAGCAAGAGTATCTCATATCATCAGGGTTAAAAGCAAGAGTATCCTATATCATGCTTTTTCCCTATCTTTTCCTTTGGCCTTGTTCTTACTTGCAAGACAAAGAGAAAGAGAGCAATCAGTCAGCACTTGGAATCAAACTTCCAGTTAGGAACTGACTGCCTGAAACCCCTTGCTTAATTACTTACCTGGCATTGCTCTTGAGTAATCATCTTCAACATTTTATGCTTCCAGAGAAGATACCACATCTGCCGGATGAACAGATATGGCAAGTGAGAAGGATATAAGGAAGCATGTGGAGACAAGCGTAACAGAACGCGTGCCGATACATCCACTACTTTGTCGACAGCAAAAGTATCCCATATCATTAAGGTCGAACGTACTTTAGATTTGATAGACTTGTTTTGACCTTCAAATTCTTGAGTCGGCCTTATACTCTTGAGAAAACCAGAAAACCCTCTAGCCTAGTTCAAGAATAAGCCTGTGGAAAGTTACTTCTTCAAAAGCAAAAGTATCTCATATCATCTCTTCTCCATTTGCTTCTCCTTATCCTGGTTGCTGTTTACAACACAAGAAGAAGGAGAACAATCAACCGGAAGCCGAAGTCGAACCTCCGATCCAGGTTGCTTGCTTGGAAGTTTGATTGCTTACCTTGTCTGTTACCTCTTTCGGAAAATTTCCTAGCTCGGCGACTTGGGGGACTCCTACTATAGGGTTTTGTATCGCACTTGACCAAGCCCGAAACTACAAGCAAGCTTCAAGTGAAATTGATACATTACCTTGTGCATCTTCATCGGTTAAAGATACCACCCGTGGATGGAGGAAAAGTACTTCCAAAGAAGATGCCACATTTACGTATGAGACAGATAAGGCAAGTGAAAATGATACCACACTTTGGTACTTAGAAGTTTCGTGATTACTCAATAGCTTGAATTTTGCAAGTCCCCAACCGAGGAGCTTCCCTCACTCGGGAACTTAGGGGAGCACTGTTTGTACCATACTTGACCAATCCTGAAACTACTGAGCACCGGTCAACGTTATACCGTCAAAGACCTAGAAGAGTTTCCCTCCAACCAGAAGGTCAATCACAGCGCGACCCATGTCGACATCAGAAGCCAATCATAGCAAGACATGTGTCAACATCAGAAGCCAATCACAACACGACACGTGTCAATGTCAGAATGAAACTAGAAACTTTCTTCTATAAATAGAGATCATTCTCTCACAATATTTCCTAATGTCATTTGTGCTAAATCATTCACTAGTACTCACAAAATGAGAGCTTGAACCTATATACTTGTGTAAACCCTTCAATTAATGAGAACTCCTCTACTCCGTGGATATAGCCAATCTGGGTGAACCACATACATTTGGTGTTTGCTTCCCTGTCCCTATCCATTTACATACTTATCCACACTAGTGACCGAAGCAATCTAGCGAAGGTCACAAACTTAACACTTTCTGTTGTACCAATGTCCTCATTGATTTTGTGCATCAACAAAGATTGTAGTATTAGGATATATATATATATATATATATATATATATTAATATTAGGATGCTTTTTTATTAGCACTCCATATAATGTTGAATACACCCCACATTAAAATTTAATATTAAAAGACTTACATACCCTACTATGCAATGACAATTTCGACCTTATAAGGTTTTAAAAAAATAAGAAATTTCTAAATACAACCCAAATCACCTTTAAAGTATTATTTATCTTCTTCAATTCTCAAAACCCCTCTCACCCTCCATTGTAGAATAAAATTCTAATCAATAAAACTAACATGTTGATTAAGAAAAAATAATTTTTACGAATGAAACACGAAATCGATGTTTTGGAAACTTCACATGAGGTAAGACTCCTTATTTTTCATTTTTAAAGTGATTTCAACAACATCTCCCTATATAAAGTGAGAGATTAGTCCTTCGGTTGAGAGAATTTAGGGTAGGATCGGATTCGTTTCATGAACGATGAAGCTTTTAAGTAGTCTGAATTTGTGAATTACATATACTGCAAATACCTGCAGGCGATTCCTGAGAAACAATAATATTTTGTTGTGTGTTCAAGCTATTAGAAGGAATTTAAGGTTGTATGTCATATCATTCCAAGTGCCTCCAGTCATGAGTTGTATCTGCACCATGGTCATGCAGAACCTTCTCAACAATTTAAAGAGAAAATAATCAACACAAGACATTTGTGTTTATTTTTCTCCTTCTTTTCCCATTTTATTGGGTTTTCTCATACCTTCCATACTTTATGCATGGTATTTTCATGCATTCTCATTTTTGTGATTGGAAATTCTAGAAGTCTGGGTTCTGTTAATATATGAACGGGGAGGTCTTTGGTAGTAAGTCTTTATACGCAGTGAGTATTTTGTAGTCAAAATCCTTCACAATAGAACACTTTGAGATGCAAGCACTAGTTTTCTCCTTAACTTATATCTAAGTCGATCATTTGAGGCCTAATTTAGAATGCCGACCAATTCCTACAGGTCATCAAACCTCAGTTGCTCAGATAGGGCTTTACTCCCAAGTCAATTTAGTTTACAATAATTAAAAATGAGTATTATAGGATGTAGGGGTGGGCAAATGGGTACAGGAACTGTGGGTCGGGACGGGTACGGGCTGGTTCCTAATTTTAAAAAAGAGAAACGGGGGTGGGGCAGGGCGGGGTTTTGAAATTTTAGGTTCGGGCCGGTTCTAAAAGTATAGGAAAATAGGTACCCAAACTGACCAATTTACAAAAATACCCCTGTGTTGGGTACTGTCTCCCAGGCCCATTTCCTTTGTTCCTCCCCGTGACAGTTCTCATTCTCAAGAACACTTCACACACACGCACCCCACTTCATTTTGTTCCCCTAATCTCTTGAACCCTCTCCCTCATTCCTCTTCTTTGTTTCTTCTCCCCCCATCTATGCAACTCTCCTTCCTGGAGCACAGACACACCACACCCACACCCACACCCCACCTCGAGAAGAAGACATGTCGCGCCAGTGTCGAGCTCCGGTTAGAAGCTTCAACAGCGGCGATTGCAAACGGCGTTGCTCGAAGGTAGTCTCGGCCAAGTTGGAGACGCTGTAAACCCTCGTTAATCTGACCCACGTCAGAAAATCACTAAAAGTCGACAAATTGTTCCAGGAAACGGCGGATTACATCGTTCTGCTGTGGACCCAGGTCGTGATTTTGCAGAGACTCGTCGAGTTTTATGGATCTAATGAGAAGGAAAATGTTGTTGCTGTATCATAATAGTTCAATATCTTTTAATTTGTCAATGCAAAAAAAAGAAAATGAAAAAAGATGGGTTTTTTTTGGATCATCAGATGGGTTACAGTCTGGAGGATTTGCTCAAGGCGTCAGCGAAGACGCTGGGGAGGGGAATGAACAGGATGCGAAGACCAGACTTAAGTTAAGCGTGAGTGAAGATTTGGATTCGTGGGGACCCGTAGGAACTGGCTCGTTTCAACGGTCCAGGTTAGGTCTGGATCCCATTTTGAAAACTCCAAAACCCACCCCGTTTTGTCTACAAATGGGTCCGGTTTGGTTCTTTCAATTTTAGGCCCGGCCCGGCCCATGCCCACCCTTACTAGGATGTGGTGTGTATGTAGAAAATATAAGGTATATGTTGAGAACGTAGAGTGTGAGGTGTTATGGGAAAGGATGGGGGGTGCATTAGGATAGTTTTTAATTAAAAAACAAACAAACAAATATAGAGTGTATTAAGTATGTGGGATGTATTCTTCAGGGAAATGCTAGGGAGAAAATTTGCAAACTAATATGTCACCAATATGAATGAGCACGTTTATCAACGTTTAAGTAATAAATCAATCATCAATTTCCATGTCTTTTAGTTTCCGAAATTTTGTTTGCAAATTTAATCTCCTTAGCATTACCCATTCAACAATATGTGGGGCGGCCTATTAGGATAATGGTTTTAGTTCTATGTTTAATTTTTTAATTTTAGGATTAATTTATTATTTTGTTATTGAAAATTCTTAAATGTCGCGTTTGATTTCTCTCCGTCGCTTAGCTAATAGTGCACCTCGCTCCGGTACCTCCCGCACATCCTACTCCGGCCCGTAGAGCTGCACCGATTGTAGGGCCTACACTGGTTACACCGATTGCTCCCACGGTTTCTGTGGCCCCCACGTCATAAACTGCTTCGATATGCATCCACATACGAGTGCTCATCGGACTCACCAATGACACCGTGTTGGCGACCACCTAGACCAAACTCCTGCGGCATCCAAAGTCGAAGGAGAGAAATTGCAGACAGGTAATATTAAATAAATTTGTTGATGTTCTAATTGGTTGCATATTAAAAATATTTGTTTATGATTATAATTGGTTGCATGCTACAAATACAAATGTTGAAATGTTGGTTGGATGAGTATTAGTGTTGTATTATTGTTTGCAGATTATGAGAAAGGTTATACTTTTAAGGAAGGTTCTGCTGAAATTTCAGTAGGATTTTAAGTTTGTTTTTTACTGTAAAATTTTTCTTTGTAGTCAAGAAAAACACCTAAGAGCCATGTGTCAACTGAAGACCGCGAAAGTGACACGTTTGCTGAAAGACCGATCACCATTACCATTACGTAGAATCCTCGAACACCATACTGCGTCTATTTTTTAACAGCACAGTGGGTTAGGCCACGACGTTGGGTCCGTAGTGCGAATCCATTGTTCTATGAAGTTGGGTACCTGGAAAGCAGTGTCGAAGGACAAGAAGAAAGCGAAGTTGCATGAGATGTCGGTTAGTATTGTCAACTTTTAATAGTACATTTTTTTAATAAAGTATACTGTTATTAATAATTTAATAATAATTTAATATTTTTTTATATTTGCAGCTGAACTATGATGTTGAAAACCTCGATGCTCAGCGTACCACTTACCTACAAGAGCTCTTCACGAAGTGGTACGTTGAGTGGAAAAGCTACCTCCACAAATATTTTGAATCTTTTTCAGATATGGAGATTACTCTCGAAGGCTGCCTAAAGGAATCCCAAAGGATTGGGCATGGCTGTGCAAGCATTTTTAGGATTCGAAATTTTTTGTAGGTATAATAATATCCGAATATTTTTTAGGAAAAATTAGTATCCGGTCTTTAGTTTTTACTGTTCATTAACTAAGACCTTATTAGTTCTCAAATTTTGATTCAAGTCCCTAGCATTAATGTGATAATAAATTTACATGTTTATTATATAATTTTTTAATATAAATATTAGTAATTAATTTAGGGTTTAATACTCACACCTCTATTAAACTTCTAATTAATTTTCAATTCAAACATTTCCAAAATAATAAAAAATTAAATTAAATTAAGTTTGTACCTATTAGTTTTTTTATATATATAAAAATATTCTCAATTTTTTAGTCTTAAATGTACCCATTCATATAATTTTTCAATTTTTTTAATCTTAAATGTACCCATTCTCAAATATATCAATTTGTTATATGTAAAATGTACCATTTTTTTAATATAAAATCCATTCAAATTTTTTAATCCATGTTTAAACTTATATGGGTACATTCTTTTTCGTTGATTTGAGAATATATCCATGTTTTGGTACAATAACTTTTTTTGTTAATTTTGGTAATGTACCCATACATATATGTACACACACACACACACACACAATATAATAGAGAGTATAATTTATATTTTATTATTTTTAATCCCATAAATTATGGGTTTTATTTAAAATCTCATTAATATAAACAATTACAAATTTCAATTTTTAATTTTTAATTAAAAAAATATAGTAACTTACATTATTACATTAATGTCAGGGACCTCAATCAAAAACTAAAAACTAACAAAGTTTCAATCAAAGAATATTGATAACTAGGGATCACATCCAAAGTGTCCCTATTTTTTATTAATTTTTTAACTTACGCGATAATACATACATTTTGTGTTTAACAAGAAAGATCTAAGGCAAACAAGATAAATAGGTTGAAAAAGAAATTTCTCTACCACTCCGGTTTAAAGCCTTTCTCCAACAGGTTGGAGAAGTTATAACAGGTAAAATGATATATTTCTATATTTTAATATATATTTATTTTTTTTAGAATTAATAACAAATTTCTTTACCTTTTTTTTCTTCAAAAGTGTTCTAAGTTTCCCAAGATCAACATGATCAAGGAAGTTTATGTTCAACTCAGGGATGAGGCTGCTGAGCAGATCTATGAAAGTTTATATCATTGTTACTTTTCTTTCAATTATAAATATTATACATATTAATTAAATATTAATATATATTTTCTTGTTACAGGCTACTATGGTGGAGAAGAGCAATGCTTTTCTCTACCGAGACGTTGGATTAGACCCTCAGTCGTAGGTCTGGTAAGGGATGGGGAGAGCGCGACACTATGAAACTGGTGGCTCATCTTTTTCAGAGAGTTGGGGACTTGAAGCGGTAGCTTGCGGCCTAGAAAGACCATATGAGAATCCAGTTGAATATCAGAGTGCGCAACGAACAAGATTACAAAATAATAAGAATATTATTAAACAACCGAGAATGCCGTAACGGCTACAAAACCCTAATAGGCTACATTGTGACTAACATGATATCTAATGAATAACAAGCTCTATTTATAGAGCAATAAACCAAAGAAACCCTAATGCGTATATGCCAAAAATACCCTACTACAAAATCAAATCAAATCTCTAATTAATTTCCTAAATAAACCTAATAAATTCCAACACCCCCCGTCAAACTCATGACGGTACACGACATGAGTTTGCCAACAAGCAGATGTGGATGCAAGCCTCCAAATTCCGATGCCGATGCCGATGCCGATTTCCGATGCCAATTTCAATACGAAATTCCATCGGTGCAAGTGCAAGATTCCAATGGCAGTGCAAGATTTCCATGCCAGTGCAAGATTCCAATGCCAGTACCAGTGCAAATGTCGATGCCGATGCCTAACAAACAAACAAAAAATCCAACCAAATATTTTTTTTCTTCCTTCTTTCTTCCTTTTTTCCTTCTGTGCAATTCCTTCCTTTTTTTTTTTACCTTCTGTGCGAACCAACGTGCGACCCAACATCACCAACCTCCTTCCTTTTTTTCTTCTGTGCGAACCAACATCACCAGCCTCCTTTTTTTTTTTCCTCGAGGGTACGGTTGTGGACGGATCCAGATGCAGGGTGGGGCTGGGGAATGCAGAAATCCTAGTGCGATGGATTCACCAAATTCCTTTTTTCAAAAAACAGAATTTTTTTTCCCTTTCTTGAAGACTACCAAGGACAAACTGAAAACCAAACCAGAAAACGTAAAAAATCTACGGACAAGACTAACACAATTTGACGGTCAATACCGAAATCCAAAGACAAAGAACATAAATAGAAATCAAAAGACAAAACGAACAAAAACAGAGTGACCAAGAACAAAGGACACAGACCAAAGCGGAAGCGAAAGCCTAAACGAGACCCAAACTAAACCAAAAAACAAAAAGCGACAAAACAAATTGATACCAACAAGAACGGATTGAACCATAAGGATCGAACCCGCTCTGATACCAAGTTGAATATCAGAGTGCGCAACGAACAAGATTACAAAATAATAAGAATATTATTAAACAACCGAGAATGCCGGAACGGCTACAAAACCCTAATAGGCTACATTGTGACTAACATGATATCTAATGAATAACAAGCTCTATTTATAGAGCAATAAACCAAAGAAACCCTAATGCGTATATGCCAAAAATACCCTACTACAAAATCAAATCAAATCTCTAATTAATTTCCTAAATAAACCTAATAAATTCCAACAAATCCAGGGCGACTAGATGAATCAGATCTTACATGCCATCCAGTTGTCCGACTTTCGATTGATTCCCAGCCACCTCAGTCATGAGGTTCTCAGTTGCTTCACCCATCGATCCCCAGGCATCCCATCTAGCAGACTTCGAGACCTTGCTTTTATAGTTTTTTTGGTATTTGGATATCATAACTTTTTTATTGCTTGTACGTACATTTCAAAATATAATATGAATAATAATTAAAATAATTATTCTTTTGATATTTAAATAACAAAGCATTAAATTAATAAAATATCTAATTTAATAAAAATTAATAATTAAAAACATAATAAAAATTAAAAAAAAGTTTGACCCAACGAAATTGTATCGTCACAAAAAATTAATGCTAGTACAGGTTTCGGCACGCCTAATTTTAAGTATTTAGAGAATTAAAAAAAAAAGAAAAATACTCAAAAACAAAAATAATAGGTTAAACTTCATTGTGTCTAGATTTATTGGACAACAGCACTCGTCGCATAATGGTTTTCGTAACGAAGAGATTTCTTCGCCCTAACCTTAACGCAAGGGAATGGTGTCATAACCTTAAAGTTTGCGCGACCATGTACCTTCATCCCTTAAACTTTGACGCGACAAACTCCTTTGTCGCAATCCTTCGTTAGGCCAGGTTCTTTGCGCGATGAAAATTTTGTCTTCGTTCCGCAATTGTTTGCTTCTCGACCTTTGCCTGAGGATTTGAGGGTGGCGAACCAAAATTTCTCTTCGCACGACAAATTGGTTTTCATCATAAAACACTTTTCTGTAGTAATGTAATTCCTATATTATTAATTGTCCTTATTTAAATATTTTTTTATATTACTCTATCAAACTTACAAGTGATTAGTTAATTTGTGTTATCATTTAGGGTTTCCTTTTCATAATTCAGTTGTGATGGTTTTTGACGTATTAATATCATCATCTTCCCTTGAAAGAAAAAAAAATACGATTAACTGATTAAGTACCTAAAAACCCTAACCTTTTAGTGTCATTCCAAATTGGTCTCAACCTTTTCAAACATTGAAACAAGTACCCAACTTATATTGTAAATGTTACATCCATTAAGCCTCAATTAAGTTTTTGTTAAATTAACTAGGGCTTTCTTTGGCTCCAACATCAATAGAAGGTTATGGAAGCATAACATCCACCAAGTAACGGTCACGGTCACCCTTTTCAGGCCGTAACCTCCAAACCTAAACTTCACCTTACAACTCAAGCCATCAACATCAAGAAGAAGGTCATGGAGGTTGTTGAAATGCTATGAACTGTCATGATATGGCCCCCACTATCTTCACCGCCCACAAAGAAGAACTTGAAGCTTTACTAGCAGAAAATCGGAGAATGAGGAAATCACATGAGCAGAAATAAGCTCATAGAACACCTTTATGAATTTTTAACGTCTTCTCTATTAGGAGATTTCCTAATCTTCATTTTTGTTTTCCATTTTATTCGTGAATTTGTTTATTCATTTTTATTTTTTCATCTTCTTATCTTTTAAAAGTATTATTATTATTATTATTATTATTATTATTATTATTATTATTATTTCAGTGTCCAAGTAGGCAAATAAGTGAGACTCATAATTGTCACATGTACATTTAACGAGAAAATTAACTGACTTAATGGATTTAGCATTTTTAATAGGTTGAGTATTTATTTGGAATGCATAAAAAAGTAGAGACCAATTTGGAATGACACTAAAAGATTAGAAGGTTTTAGGTACTTAATTGAAAAATAATATGCATAGATACTTCTTATGTGCCCTTAGATTATTGACGCTTTGCACACAGACGAAGATATCTGCACTAAGACTACTTGAAAGAGAAATGAAGAGTCAGGTTAGGCACTTCTGAAAGAGATCGTGAACAGAACAAAGTAAGATAGAAAATTTAGGGCAAACTTGTCAGGAAATAATCACTTCACCGACCATCGCCATCTAGGTGCATAAAGTGGAGGAGCCAACAAAACATGTCACGTTGCACAGCTTGCAAATTTACCAAATGGAAATCACTCAGTGATCACCATCAATTTTATACGACCAACAATACCCGGAGTGGTTATTGACAAGCATCCATCGGATTTGGATCCTCACTGGATCCCCTCTTCGGGGATCCTAGGGATCAACGCATGTGGATCGTTGATAAAAAATCGTGCGGCCACAATTTTTTTCTTTTTTATATTTTTCAAGCAAAATGAGGCTGTTTTACTTTTAAAAATATAAAAAGCATTTAATTGAGGCCGCATGATTTTTTATCAACGGACCACGTGCGTTGATCCCTAGGATCCCTAGGAAGAGGATCCGGTGAGGATCCAAATCCGCATCCATCAAGCTCTGTAATCTACATGTAGGACATATATACTGTACAATCCCATGATTCATTTGTGATATATTTGCAGTAGTATTGGTTTTTCAACTGTAATCGAATTGTTGGTATAGTGTTTGAACTAAAATTTATTTAAATTGAAATCTGAATTTGACAAATATTGAGCATTATCTAGGAATAGGATTCTATCTGGATTCTCTTTGTGAGGATCATAGGGATCAGTTCATTCTATTCGTTCTTCAGTCATTATGCGGATAGAAATCATTTTGAATTTTTTATTTAAAATTTAAAATAAACAGTACCTAACGAATGCTAGCTACATAATGTACTATGAACGGCTAAGATGAATTAATCCATAGGATCCTCACAACGGGAATCCTCATCCCATTATCCTTGATCCCAATTCAAATAAGTAATATATCAACAACCCTTTCCACCTGTGTCAAGCTTAAATTCGAAAATAAATTCTTCAAGGCGATATGAATCAATGCTCCACTTCTAGTTAAATTCACATATTAATTTAAACAAATCTTTGTTTCAGAGACCAAAACTATAATTCGGAAAAAAATTATAAATCAATAGTGAGTATTTTAATGGGTCTACCGACCAGCCGGACCAACCAATTATTACGTGTTGGTATAAATAGAAAAAAACTAATTTACGTGCAAAAATCCGACCACTCAAATGATAATAATTCTTAAACATATTGTTAAGCGCTCATGCCCGTTCGAATGGATCCGGGATGGTAACAAGACCCCCAGGAGCGATGGTAATGGTCCATGGTTCCGTAAATTCCACTCGATCATTCCTAAGATGATCAATAATGAGAATTTCGACCCCGGACAGAGTACGCCCAGCCTCGGCAAAGCCCTTCTTAAGCCTTATTCAATGCTTTAATGTGCAAGGCCGAAACTCAAGCCATGGCAAATAACCTTCTAACTGAGGCCAGGAGATATTTTATTTTTCATATTTCAAGCTAGCTTCCAAGCATGCCTTCCCAAATAAAGATGCATTATGTGTTGTTCTGGTCCGAAAGAAAAGGCTTGGATCAACAAGACTAACATCTGCACAATTTGCAAGTTAACAAATTAAAATACTAAAACCTTGGTGGACTTAGGATATGGACTGAAATGAAATTGACTCCAAGATTAAGCGGTTCACGCTGCAAAACTAGGCTACATCCATTTTGTTGCCCGAGATTGTATTTATTCTAAGACAAAAAAATAGAGCTCGGCTAATACAAAAATTCTCTCTCCTTTGAGTTGTCCGACCCTAATACAGGAGGTTCCCACCCTTTTATATAGGTCCTCAATGAAACCCCCA